CCGCTCTTCTCAGGCGACCAATTTCGGATGGTGATGCCACTTCCAAACATCAATGTGTCCACATCCTCACTCAAGACAGCATCGACAATGCCTTCGCGCTGGAGTAGCGCGCATTCTGCCTCGGCCTCACCAGGCGCCAGATGAATTGGATATCCAAATTGTTTTAATAATTGTTTGGCGAGAAATTCGGGAATAGATGCAACAGTAGGGCCAGTACGCTTATTGCGCTTGAATGGCGGCTTGTTAGGGCCATCGAATACAAATATGGGGTGGATAGAGAGAGCGATTAGGCGGAGGAGGCGGTAATAAAAGGTGCGCAGAGCCGGATTACTGCCACCTAAATGTTTGTCAACATCAAAGATTCAACGCACATGAACGTATTTACATACCTTTACTTGCTTGAATCTGGAAAAGCCATATAGATGTGTCGATAGCAATGCGTAACGGCCGTCCAGTGTCTTCGAATTTCGCGATGGCGAGTTTGGAGAGTGCTACACGTCTGCCAGGCCCAATTTCTTTGTATATACTGTGTGCACATTAATAAGACTGTAAGCATTCATGGAGGCATTACTTACCCATGGATACCCATCACAAACCCATGCCAAATCGCAGAATAAAGTCAACCTATTGTCAGAGTCTTGGTAGTGTGTCACGGCGGTCTCAGTTGATAAGATTGTTGCTATGACAACGACAACGCGTGCGATGCAAATGACGGCACGCTTCCATTATCACCATCAGCACCGCCACCAAACACCCCGCACATTCCACTGATTCAGTCATGGCTTACCGTGGTCGCACTACGATGGCAAGCGACGAGGTCGACCGCAGTTATGAATCGAGCCCTGATCCACTGGCTCTCTCATGGAACGAAAACACAACAAAATCGACGCGCAAATCAACACCAAGAAAGCCATTGGCCGCGACATCCCCAACGAAACAAAACCGCCGATTAAGTGTCTCAGAAATGCAGTTGTCATCACCATCAAAGGCCATGATCTTGAATACTCCAAGAATGGGGAGCGCAAGTCCCTGGCGGATCAAGGTCACTGTCGAGGCTGAGCCCGGAAGTGATGAAGAGAACTTACAGTCGCCAAGCGTCAAACGCTTCACGAGGACGCAAACCACGACTATTCCTCTAAAGGATCCAGATGCCTCTTCTCCAGTCAAGCGGGGCCGTGGTCGCCCGAGAAAGTCAGACATCATAGCCGCTTTAAAGCCCAGACGAGCTGGAACACCAATCAAAAGGCCTGCTCGATCTAGGTCCCGCGATACGAGCGTAGGAGCCAGGGAGTCCAGTGTAACAGAAATCGATACTGATGCGCCTCCAAAGAGAAAGAGGGGCCGTCCGAGGAAGAGCATTCAAACTCCGATCGCAGACGAGGATGCCCTGATGGTTCAAGCAATGCAAAGCTATATCGAATCTCCTCTGGAACCGATTACCAGGCCAAATCCTATGTCAAAGGCATCTATCTCCCAGAAGAGCACGCGCTTTGCCACACCTGAGGTGCTCGCGCCTAACCTCGAGACCACAGATGTGACACCGCAACCACTATCATCAACTAGGCTAAGAAGAAACGTTGCTATAGAGTATGAGTTACCTATTGTGGATACACCCCCACAAACAAACCTAACCAAGATGTTACGTGCGCGCAAAGGCACTCCACACTCCAAAAACGTTGTGACTATTGAAATCTCTTCTGATGAGGAGTCAGATCAAGACAGCGATGCCCTTACACCAACAAGCGGCGATGAGGATGTAGGGCCAAAAGAAACGGGGGAAAAAACTGTGCCTACAGAAGCTCTGGGCAATCTAGAAATCGATGCAACTGTTCCAGCCATAGACAAAGACACGCTACATGGTGGTCAACCGTTTGAAGCTGATGAGGAGGAAGACAACCCGGATGTTACCAACTTTGCTTTCGATGAAGGAACGACCAGAATGCCAGATGATACAACCTTGATGGATAGTGAGAGCTTCAGTATGATTTCCGTAGCTTCCCTGCCCAGCAGTGGTGGACTTACCAGTCCACCCAAACCGGAAGACAGTAAAAGCACTACAAATCAGGGAGGCTTGGTGCTAGAAGAGAGACTTCTCGGGCCTTCAACAGGCAATACACCGAACGCCAAAAGTCAGACAATTTCCAAGCCATCGCCAGCACCCTCGAATGTCTCACCCTACCTAAAAGCCACGGGAGAACCTTCGCGACCGGCACTCCAACGCTACATAACACCATTCACTGAAACTGCCACCCCATCAAACCCACCAGTTATTGAGCCAGTCCAGACAGTACCTCCCAAATCTGAGACCCCACGGCTTGGTCGTGTTGTGACTGCTGGTGTGGCTCTTCAAGGCCTTTTGGATCCCAGTCGTATAACGCCCGAACCTTCCCAGAAGATGTTGGATGAGAAGCGTGATAGACTAGACGATCTCTTCCGTGGTTTTAGTGAAGGGACGAGAAGAGAGCTACAAGCAGGGCTTCGTCTTGGAGAGCAACTTGCAACAGGTCAAACGAATGAGCCATCTGCACCTGCTCATTCTAGCCCTATCAGGTCACAGCCTAGAACAGATCCTCCAAGGGAAGGGGTATACAAAACCCAGCGAAAGCCCCGGCAACCGCGCCTCCTCACACCAGAAGATCAGGTTGAGGACATCATTTCTTCAGTCATACAGCCTGAGAATAGTGATGTGCCCTACCCATTGCTACCCCCTGCAGCCACAGAACGGTCACTTCCTAGTCCGGAAAGGAGTGGAGATGAAGATGAGATGAGTTGGCGTATTGATACCCCTCCCGTAGCCACAGGAAAAATGGAGCACACGCATTTCGATATAATCGCGAATGAGGCCCAGGCCAGGTCGAATAATTCAGAAGCCACTGCGACATGCGAGGCAGGCAAATCCTCCCAACAAGAAGATTACTCTGACATCTGGCAAGAGGAGGCAAGTCGTTCATCCAACTCAGCTGAAGTCGATGACGTGTCGCAACCACAAGACATGTTTGAACCTGGCCCCGTTGTACCGAGTCGAGGGAAACTCCCCAGGACTTGGCGGCGTACTAATGGCAACCACTTCCACTACAGTGACGAGGCAAAATCTCCCCAACAACCCATGCATGCAAATTCAGTTTCGGTAGTCGACATCAATGATGACAGCGATGAGCTAGGGGAAGAAGAGGGCGCCGGTAGTGATGGAAGTGACGATACTGGAATGTTCTTTCAATCGAACATGCCCAACGTCTTCAGCAAGAGACATTCTCGCGACCTCAAACAGAAGAAAGCAGATAAGTTAGATCTTACTCTGCTTATGAATGAGGGTGAAAGCTTGGCCCCAGAATCATCCCCCCCAGCTATTACCAAAAAGCCCACTTCTACAACAAAGAGCAATCCGTTTGTCAAAACACCGCCTCGCTTCCCGGCAGTCCCAAGTTCGCCACAGAAGAGAAGTCCCCTTCGGCGAGAATTACACAGCTCAGACATCTCATCTGAGGTTCAATCACACTTCCAAGATGAATCTTCACTACCACTCGTGCAAAGTTCACCATTCCATACGTTCGTTGGTGGCGAGACCATCATCTCTGTAGCTTCTGATCAACGTCAGTTGCAGATGGAAATGGAGGGAGTAACGGACTCCAGCATCCGCCACTTGCGTGATGAGGCGGATGATTACCTCGAAGCATATGAGCCGCAAGAACGCAGCTTAGACTGGATCGAGGAAGTGACAGAGCCCAGTAGAACCTGGCACAAGAACACAAGTATGGTTGCATCAAGCCCACCACAGATGAAGATACTTTCGCCTGTTCGTAGGCGCGTTTCACTCTTCCAGAACACACCGGACAAAATCGACGCTCCGCCACCTATGGTTCTTAAGCCTACTATGAGGAATGAGCCTAAAGAACACGAAATGAGTGAAGGCATTTCATCTTATAATCAGCAACGCAACGTCACTATTACAATTCCTACTGAGCAACCACCACAACGATCCTCCGGCCTCCTAACACGCATGACGTCCACATTGTGGTCTGCAGTCTCCAAGTCTGCAGCTACCAGCACGCCCGAAGCAACTGGGCCAGTCCCGCATCCCATTCTTACGAAGCTTACTCCACTCCCCAAGATAGAACCCTGGACCAAAACACACTACAAGACCCTCGACCGGCTCTTCAATATCAACCAGAAACATACTGCTCTCTTCTCCCCTTCTGTCACTCCTGCTACTCCCCTGTCGCAGACTAACGCACACCTTCTCAGCAAGTTCCTCACCAACAACAACCAACCCTACGTCGGCGCTGTTTTCAGCGCATGGGGCTACGAGTTCGACATGACCGAAGAACTAGTCGTATTGTGCCAAGTATTCTGCGAGTTGATGAGCCTGGACAGTATCGAAGCGTACCAAACATTGAAAGGCAGGGAGATCGAGATGGGTGATTGTTTACCCGGTAGAACCGGCGAAGCGATTGAAGCTGAAGAGGTAGTGAGGCGTTTGGCAACCGTAATATTAGGCGAGGAAGTGAGAGCAGACGAGAGGCGAGGTGCGACAATTGATAGGAGGAAAGGGTTGGAGGTGCACTGGCCGCAGTGATTGGGTACGTTTGATGAGCACCTACCGAGGGATTGCTTGCGCAAGGGTATTTTGGGGGAGTACTGATTGATCAATTTGGAAACATGTGGTCACAAATGTTCGATTTTGTATATTTGGAGTTTGGTGGACAGACCTGGATATGATACCTGACAATAACGACTCTCATCCTCAATTTCATCATTTTAACTTGATGTTCCAACAATAATGTCGCGATCCACTTGCATATGTTTTACTCTCAATAAACTGAATGCTGAATTACTTGGTAGTTCAGCCCACCGCCTTTGTAAACGCACATTCCCCACTGTCTCCACCCTGCCTCGCTTCGTGCAATCATGCCCACAATACATTATTATCCCTATCAACCTCGCTTCCCTCGTACTTCATGTAGCAATTAATTTCTTGCTGACTCATCAAGTAATACATGATCGGCCGTGTGGTCTAGTCGTATGATTCCTGCTTTGTAAGTTACACCAATCAACTGAGATACATTGCCTGATTTAACAACAAAGGGGTTCCATATTCAAAATGCAGGAGGTCCAGGGTTCAATTCCCTGCTCGGCCCTAGAGTTTTCATTTTGCATTCTTAGATGCTTTTTTTACTGTTTGATATGTCCTACATCCAACAGCCTGTAACTGTTGCCTTTTAAATTATAGAATCTTATAGTAGGGTTTAACTTAGATAAGCTACTATCCTCTATAATAAAATACTAGGCTTATAGAGCACTTTGGTAGAAGCTATAGCAACCCTGCCTCGTAGTAGTACAAGTAGGAGGTGAAATATAAGGATGCGATAACGTATTTTAGAAGTAGTTAGACCCTTTATTAGCGAGCATTACAGAAAGAATTGTAGGGGCGTCGCGATGCAGAAAGAAACGCCTTACTCTCTTTAAATGAGTAGCGTATGAGGTGGCGACACGTATTAAGAATCCTAGCATGGGGCTGAGCCAGGAGCATGGCGTGAGGCTGAGCCATGAACCAACATTGGGGGCTACCTGCAAATCACCGACGCTTCTTAAGATAGCCGTCTTCGTTTGGTTCAAGGGAAGAGATATGCAATCGTATTGCGAATCCCAATCTAGCATAACTTTCATACTTTTAAAATGCCCAAACGTCCGCAGTCCTCGTCTTCTGGGCTCTCGGATGATGATATTACAGCATTACTTCGCTATCAAGGCATAGACGAATCTACACTTAGAAAGTTCAAAGCGTCGTCTAAACGAATCCGTCAACGTGTCAGAATTGAAAATTCAACGGGCGCATCCTGCCCCAACTGTAGCAAGATCACTCTTGAGAGTCTTTGCAAAGGCTTCACGATATCGAACAGCTTCGCAAGTCTAAGGGTCTTATCGAAAGTATGTCAGTTATGCCGCCTTGTGTTGATGAGCTTGCGCAACAAGCTGCCTGAAATTGACGCAAAACTTGCCGAGGATGGTTACGGGAAAAAAAGCGTTGAAGTGGCCTTTGACTCGGATGGAGGTACTGATATTGAAGGAACCTTGTCTCAAATCGATACAGTGGAGCAACGAAATCTTTCAGAAACCTTCTGGCTCACAGTTGGCGACATTGCAAATGGCATCATACGAGTCCGAGCAAACATAAATTTGAAGTCTGATAAGCGTCATGAATATCGAAAGCTACTTAGCCTAGATAGTGTTATTATGATTTACACAAAAGATGGCTAGTATTCTTTATCCAAGCAATGGAGCATCCTGCTAAGAATTTAATTAGTGGAAATAAACAGAAATCTTTCTCTCCCACTTGATCCACGGCCAAGGGCAGAGGACAAGTTCTCAATGATGAAAAACTGGCTATTAGAAGAAAATATATCGCCAACAGTGCTTCCAGATCGAAGGTCGGAAAGTTTATCTCTCAGTCTGAACTACTGTCTCCCGCGACGGCTCATCTATGTGCCTACAGATTTCGCAACAGAGTGTGGCCAACTAAGACTGATCGCCATAGATGATCTCTTGAAGGACCAAAATCAAAACGATAGCTTGTATTGTCCTCCATATCTTACCTTGAGTCATCGATGGGGAGCTACTCACAACTTCGTGACAACCAAGGCAAATTTACCTTCTCGGCAATGCGGTTTCGCTTTACAAGCGCTTCCCAAGACATACAGAGATGCAGCAATCGTAACAGCAAGACTTGGATATCAATATATTTGGATTGATGCTGTGTGCATTATACAAGACGATGCTGAGGACTGGCTTGCGGAATCCGGGAAGATGGGAGCAATATACCGCCTTGCGGTTTGCACCATTGCTATTCACTGCTCTGGCCATGACAACTGCGGCTTTTTGGAGGCGTCCCTTTCGAAGAGAGGCTCCATCAAATTTGGGTTAGTGTTCTAACATAAATGGAATGATGGGAGTAAACCAACAGCTAACTTGAATCCAGGGACTATAAAAAAACGTACCTTCGCTCAGCTGCGGATCTTCAGCTTGATATAACGAAAAGTTCGCTCTCAAAACGTGGCTGGGTTCTGCAAGAAAGTCTCTTATCTACGAGGATCCTACATTTCACAGCAGGTATGATTTATCTAGAAACACAACAAGGGGTCAAGTCTGAAGACGGCCAGGCTCCGATCAACTTAGCTCAGATAACTGCAAACTCTTCAACTCTTCTTACCGCTGAAATATTCATGTATCACAAGCCACTGTCGTTACATAATTTTTCTAATTTTCTAACGGAGCCAATTTCGAGAATAATTCGGCCTGACAATTACCAAAACGATCCAACATCTCCCATGGTGTGGTTCGCGCTCTTGGAAATGTATTCTACATGCTCGTTATCAAAGGACTACGACAAGCTCCCAGCGCTTCTAGGTATCGCGAAGATCATACGCCGCAATCCTGATTCGCTATACCTTGCTGGAGTGTGGGATGATCGCCTGGATTTTGGGCTAATGTGGATGAATGTTGGACATCCACTTAAGAAACCAAGCTATGACAGAGCTTCCTCTTGGTCATGGGCCGCCTATAACGGACCTATTCAATTTCCTCTAATTCGCCAAAAAAGGCCTTTTAAAACTTTCTTCCATTTTATCCGTTCAGAAAGGAATCATTCAACATCGCTGAATGAACACTCATCGCTGACACTCAAGGTTGACATTCTTGACCTTTCCCAAGCCCTACAGTCTGGAACTCTTGCCATATCTCTGTACCGAGAAGAATTACACCCGACAAAATTAAAAGCTTGGGAGAAAGAAGACCAGTCACTTTTTCGGGACCGAGCTCTAAACATCTACAACGTTTTCAATGCGCGTCGATTTATCTGGAAAAGTGAGAAGTTGGCACCTAAGAGGGGGGATGGAAGCTGGATTGTATTTGACACCGAGGATTTCCAGAATGCAGTTATCAAAGAACTCACTTTTGTATCCCTGGCATCCTTCCAAACTGCCGAAGGGCAGGATGTGGAATTGCGCATGGGGATATTCCTCATTCCTGCCCAAGTACCCAGGTCTTATAGGAGAGTTGGAGCTGGTCTTATGCGTCAGACTTTGACGAAGAACCTACAATACTTTGGCAACCAGGGGTGTAGAATTCATCAAGAGGAGATCACTATTTTATGATATAGAAGAGGGTTCGGCTTTAGGCCTTTAGTCTTCTAGGTCTATAACTATTATTAGAATTTTGATACCACCTTTGAAGTTGGAACAACGCACCACAACCTTCTCCAGGGCGTCTCAAAAACTGCAGAGACGGTAATATATCATTTGAGTGATTTAGGACAAGTCCCAGTAGCATGCGACTCGAAGCTTGTTAGGGCCTATTGTAGTAAAAACAGGAAGCAAATGCTCATCGTTGAGGTTTCCCAAAAAAAAATATTCAATGCAGACGCAAAGAATGTGGCGAACACAGAGAGCTTGGAGGAACAATAAAAAGTAAAAAAAAGAAGATGGGGCCTGACCGGGATTCGACTGTATGATTGTTAGAAAACATTCTTAGCGAACCGTTTTGAGTGCAACTTACACCCGGGGCCTCCTGCAGAATAGGCATTTGTCCGAAGACGTGGAACCCAAAGCAGGAATCATACCACTAGACCATCAGGCCGATTGATGTTGATTTGGAAAATAAATTAGTAGATATTGACAGGAATTTGATGGGGGAGGAGGTGGTAGGAAATGCTTGTCTGATTGGAAGGGTTCAAGGGTTAAGCGAAGTCGCAAAACCACACCGTCTTTTGACTTTAGCCGTCTGCCGAGGGACTCTGAACAACAAGGGATAGAATGTAGGCCTCGTCGTGTGATTGGATCGCTACGAGCATCATCTCCTATGTTTTTAGACTCTCATCTTCTTTGGAATCCTTCCTTCAGTTACTTTCGTCCTTTTGCATATCATCTTGCGCCGTTCTTGCTGAGTCATCACTTTGGTGCTGTGGTGCAGCCTCCGTTGTTTTTCTAAGACCTGTTACAGGAGTAGGAAGTCTATATCAGTGTTTTTAGTAGCAAGTGTGTTAATCATTCTTTCAATCCCCTGTACATTTACTATGCATAGCCTCAAGGTTGCTAGATATCAAGTGTACTCTACCATTGTGTTGCGTCGCACAAAGTGGCTTGTTTGCTCGAAGCATTTGTCAGTATAGTTCAGTTCAACGCACTCAAATCTCGCACTTTGTCCTGCGCACGATGTGGAAAACAGAACTGTTGTGATATTGTTGCATTACGCATCGAGGATATCAACGATAGGGTATCTCACAAAACGCCAGGACCCTACAAAACATGAACATCTAGCCATGACCCAACTCCTAATGTGTCTTGATGTTTTGCCGTGCCAACCACAAAGCCACACTCTCCCTAGCGACATCACTGCCCCAAACACCGTCTGCCCCTCCGCGTCTCCATTCTTCACCTGACGCATCTTCTCCGCCGCCGCGTGTGGCCTCCCCAAGTAGAACCTCGAGATCTCGCTTCTGAGAGGAGAGCCAGCGCTTGAAGAAGGTGACAGGATCCTTGGACATGCTGGTGAAGAAGGCATGTTTAGCTTTAGATTGTCCAATGGCACCCATGAGGAGAACTAATTGCTCGTCGATCTTTTGAATCTCCTGTAACGTCTGAATGCTATCTGGTCGACGGAGGATGTCCTGGAACAGGGGCTGCATTGGATCTTCGAGGGCAACCTGGACATCATAGATGCTGGGTTCTGATGCAGTCTTGCCAGAATCAGCAGCGGGTGAGATGTAGTCCTTGTCGACCCGTATGGTATATTGCAATTGGATTGGTGGCAGACTGGTAAGGTGGGGTTTGATAAGCTGAGGTAGGTTGGGGAAGTAGAATGAATCCTGGCCGCCGAAGAGAGCCTTGAGCTTGGCATCACAAGCGAATTTGCGCTCGTCGTCGTCTTGCTGGAGGTGTTGCGACCTTGCATACTCCCAGATACCCATCAGTACACCAGCACGATCTTCTTCGTCGGTATCAAGTAGCTCGGCGAGCGGCTTGCTAAGCCGGAAGAGCTATACGTGAATGCGTTAGCATAGTAAAGTCAAGAGGGATAGAGCTGCGAGGGAACAAATCATCCGGTCCCAAATAGAGTCCTTAGGTTTTACGTACCTCTGGATTCT